ACAAGAACACTGAAGGCCGACAGAGCACACGGACAAGCAGCCCAGCAACCGTGCAGCGCGAGGCACCGCCACAAGGCTACCAAACCACAAGGCACGCGAGCAAAAGACACGGGAGGCACGACCCGCGGGTAGGTGGCAAGGCAGCAGAGCAGCGAGGACGACCTGCAAAGCAAGCGGCATGGGCAGCAAGACCGCGGCAGAGCACAGACAAGACAGTCTACACATCCAACACGGAGCAAAACCGCACATGACCTACTAACATCATGATAGAACCCCGCAGACTGTTGGTTCCCACCACCCACTGAGCCAGGGGGACACTCCAACGACCATCCGTCATCACCTACAGGCAACACAGACATCCCGAACCGAGTGGCCCCCATAAGAGTGCAGTAGGCACTCCAAACGAGGAACCACCAACTGTTTGGCACTACTTAAAGGTGCTCAGTTGGGCACACAAAACATACTTAGAAAAAGTCAGGGGGAGGACAGACAACAGAAGACAGGCCAACAGACATAAAACTGATTTTGTGTGTGTGTGTGTGTGTGTGTGTGTGTGTGTGTGTGTGTGTGTGTGTGCGTGAACATCAAACACTACAAAAAGCAGTGAACACCGCAACAATTGTTGTTTCATACCTCCCTCACAGTTACACAGACAACCAGATGCTCTCTCTCTCTCTCTCTCTCTCTCTCTCTCTCTCTCTCTCTCTCTCTCTCTCTCTCTCTCTCTTCCAAAGCACACAACCTACATGCTTGTGGACACAGAAAAAACACGTGCGCGCACGCACGCAGACACCACCCGCCCACCCTCCTTCCCCACACACACATACACAGCGACCTCCTTGCATTCTCAGTCTTCCGATAGCTGGCTTTCCCTCCGCTGGCCAAGTAAGCGACCGAATTGCAGGCAGCAACGGTCCCGACAACGACGATCGAGCCAAGGCAAAGCACCTCGACCACGATAATAGGTAGGATGATGACGAGGATTACGACGGTGATGGATAACGACGACGAAAACGGTGATTGTCACGCGGCAGGAAGATTATTGACAGCCCGCCGTCAGGGCGAGGGGTAGAAATGGTGAAAACTGACGCCAAGAAACCGCACCTGCAACCACTCAGGCTGATCCGTGCCTGGAACGACGACCATACTGATGATGCGCATTATTGCCGAGCTACCGTCTTAACACGAATAGAAAACCTGGTCATTATCGCTGCACCTGGACACAGAGTAGGCCCCAAATACAGCCATAGTGACCGCGCGTTCTCTTCAGTTCAAGACGATAGTGACAGCGAGACTGATTTTTGACGAAGATACTCGTGATGATGATGATGATGATGTAGTCGCTTTCATGATGACGACAACGACGACCATGATACTGATGATGGCGATGATGATGATAATAATAGAAATAAATACAGGACCAAGACGACTCTGGCATGCTAGCCTATTCCCCCGAACATAACCGCCCATCATTATCAATGTCTTCCTCCTATCGGTTGGGGGGGGGGAGGGGGGGGCGCGGGAGAATGTTCAGGGGAATGTGTGGATCAACGAGATGAAGAAGATGGCGAAACGTAACATTAAGATTATAAGAATCATAATGATGATCATTCGAGTGACGATAACTAAACGTAATATTATAAGAATCATAACAATAATCACGGTGCCGATCATTTTATATATTGTCACATGATATCAGAGCGCCTAAGCGAAAAGAGCGGCGGCTGCCCCCACCCCCGTGTGTCATATCGACCCACTTGCACACAGCCAAAAGGCAAAGAGGCAAAGAAGAGAGGAAGGGAACAGCCAAATGAAACAAATAGAACAGAGGAAAACAAGACAGATCCCAGATGACAAGTCCCACATGCAAGCACCGCCCGCTCCGTCAAAGGCCAAACAACGGGACAAGACCACCCAGGACAAGACATAAAAAAGCGACGATCCACAGTGTGACAACCAAGAAAAAAAGAGAAGACAATCCTGAATGACGATTCCCACATACAGGCACCGCCCCGCCTCTCAAAGGGCCGAACAACGGGAAACAACCAACCAGGATGCCAAAAACCCGAATGGCTGGTCACACATGAAAGCACAGCCACGTACATACTATATCAACGATTGGGGGACTGCAGGCTGTGGAGGGTTCAGCCTCCTGATGAGTCGGTGGAACTCCGACGGCACAGTCTGTAACAGCCCCTCGTTTGTTGTCCTTTTCTCCCTTTTGTCCCTCTCTGCCTACAGTTCACCGGGCAGTTCTGCTTGACGATTTAGAGCGAATGTATATATGGTCAAACAGAGCTGCCTACGGTAAACCGTAGGCAGAGAGGGAGGGAGAAGGGAGAAGAGGACAACAATCGACGGGCTGTGACAAACTGTTTCGTCGGGGTTTCACCGACTGGCTGAACACTCAACAGTCTGCAGAATCCCCTAACTGATTACACTGTAAGTGATAATCCACCTTAACCCCGGTGTGTATACATACTCAACTGACATGTTGATGACAAAAAAATAACCGATAAAAAACAGCAGGAACATAGGAAGCATATGTTCCTTGCCATCCGTGATATGTACCTATGACATGACAAGACGGACTAAAACCAATAACGATAACGGAAAGGAAAAACCAATAATGATAAAGAAAAAGCAAAAAAAAAAGAGCTTTCATAGACACGAGCGACCGCGGGGGCGACGTCATTGATTGATCATGAAAGGGTTTTGTACCGAGATTGCAAAACAAAAGAGACGAAAAACAAAGTTAATCATGACGACAAGTTAAATGATGGTTCTGCCAGTTTTCCGCCATGACGGCAACGGCTCACAATCGAGGTTTCCAGGACGCATCAGACCACCAGCACGACCAGATTAGCCCAGGAAGTCCTACCGTAGTGCGGGAGTGCGGCCCTAGAATCTGTATTCATCATAGGCGCCAGTGACGAGTGCACCGATCAGTTGCCCACATACGATTTTTTTTTCCCGCTACTGTCATGAGATTGATATTCGCTGGAAATCTAAAAACATTTTTTTTTTTCCTTAACACAGCGTGTTCAGCGTACTTGAGCCGCACCAAGACCAAACGTTAGACGATGCGACGACAGACAACTGTTTGCCTGTATATATTTGTGCAAGTGTGCCGCTTTGGCGGCAAACGGGTGTGTGGTCACTTCCCCCTCAACCACACAAACGTGCGGAACCACCTTGCACCTTCTATTACTGTATATTGCTCGTCTACACTTTTTTGTTTATGGACGGTTCGTGATTGTATGTGGATGGACGCAGACATGGAGAGGACCCTCAGGCCGTGCATGTGCGGTGACCCACTGTTTTTCAATATTCATCACCGTCCAAACGGCTGTCTCTTGACGAATTTGGAGATCAATCCCTGCAAAAACATCACGGTAGATTACGAAAGAAATCCTCACACCTCTTGACGAATTTTGCGATCTATATGCGATAATCCGAGTGAATTCTTGTTCAGTTCAACCCCCCCTGTGTGGGTGTGTGGGTGTGGGTGTGAGGGTGTGTGGGTGTGTGGGTGTGTGGGTGTGGGTGGGTGTGTGGGTGTGTGGGTGTGTGAGTGTGTGAGTGTGTGGGTGTGTGGGTGTGTGGGTGTGTGGTGTTCTGGTGACGCGTGTCGTTTGTGTTCGTGTCAGCAGATATGGAAAAAGATGAAGGTAAGGTTTCTGAAAGTACAA